CGATTGCATAGCATTCCCATGAGAGACCTGGAGTCAAAGGTACCTACCTAAGTCCCCCTGGAGCTCTGACCCACAGCAACTCTGGGGTAATAAATGTTTGTTTAAGCTGCAAAACTTAGTTATACAGCAATAGATAACTAACAAATATGTAGACACATATTCTTAATTTGGGGAGGATGGAAGAACAGACTAGAAACAAATGAAGATGGTTACTGATAAGACATGAATGGGAACACCAGTCTTCGGGTGATAACATCTGTATGATTTTATTTTGAACCACGTGAATGCTTCATCCAGTCAAAAAATGAAATTGAGTAAAAAGGAGGGAAAAAGCAACTCTAAAACTGATGCAAATAAAAACAAATCTAATGATATATCAAATTAATAACCACATTGAAAAAGCAAATTAATTTAAGTAAGTTGAACACTAATGGCACACCATTTAGAAGGATGTATCCATAGGGGTTCAGAACAAGTCACCCAAGATGTGCCTCTGTGCTATGTGGATTGTTTAAAGCTAAAGGCAATCAAGACCCTGAAGGCTCAAGAGAAACTTCTGTACCTTTAACTCCCAGAAGAACTTGAATTAGGGACCTTGACCATAATAAGAGATTACCAGAGATAACCTCTTTTGACCCACATATAGGGCAGGGCAAAATTCTAATTACTGAACGTCTGCTGTTGTGTCCTGCAATGGTCTTCTTCCCCCTTGAAACCCAAGGTACCTTACCTCATCTTTAGCTCAGAATGCCATATCTACCTCATTTTCCCTTTGAACCTCTCATGTATATGGGGTTTCTTACTATCTCATATATGTGGGGTTCCCATTCATATGTATGTAATTAAATTTGGTCATTGTCTCTTGCCAATCTATCATATCTATTTGATTAGACCAGCTGCAAGAACCTTGAGGGTAGAAGCACGTTTCTTCCTCCCTCACATATCAAAAAGATAAAAAGAACTGCAAAGAAATCTTGAACTTAGAAGGTTTGTTGCTGGTGGTAGTCCTGGTGTATAAGTCTCAACTAGTTTGTGTATATTGTAGCATAGAATAAATGAGTAAATCTATTGATGCTGACATGAATGAGGGTTTTCAGTGAGAGAAGGAAGATATAAATATGGGAAGGGGAAGATTAGAGTGAGCCTTATGGTGCTGGATTTTGAATGGGAGGTATCAGTATGAACTCATGATTTATAACAGTACTGAGTGAAGGGTATACAGTTTCCTATTTTATATCTATATCTATATGAATATATATATATGTATATACCTATATACACACATCGATATCTATACATCTATGTATCTATATCTATTTTGTCCCCTGAAAGGACCTAGAAGAAATGCTATCCCAGAAGCAATGAGCACACGAAGTACTCGGATCTAATTTTCTAAGTGCCACTAGGACTTCTCTGCCTAAGGCAGAGAAAAGGCAATGAGAGATAGCAGGGCTTGTGTCAGAAAGCAAGGAAGTACTCAAAGATTGATAGGATATATGTAAGGATAAAGGAGGGGATTCCACTGGCCAAACATGGGCAATTTGAGCACCTATAATAATAATGGTATTTGATTATAATAACTGAATTAAAATGAATCTAGGAATCCACACTGTCTTTCAAAAAGCAGGAGGGGGAGGGGAGTTGTGAAGGGGAGGAGATGAGAAGAAAAGAAAAAGCAGAAAAGGAGAAAAAGGGGGAGGGTACTCTCCTTTAGACAGGAATGGCTGCTACTAAACGTAGAAGGAATGATAGGATTAGAAAATTACTTTATAACCAGTGAGCTCAGTGTTTATCAGTGTGTGCTACTCCTGCTGGGTGAAAGTAGTCACCTGGTCTCAGCCTATCACTGCAGAGATTACCTGTTTTGGAGCATCAGAGGTATCTTTGGAGAGGTCTGCCAGACTGCACCTTCCCCAAGTGATCCAACTTGGCATCATGGATAATGGGACAAAGCAACACTGTGCCTCCCTGCGGAAGTATACCATCACCGACTCTTCTTACTAAAAAGCTTAGCCTGAATCTGATTGTGAGGAAACAATTCGATAAATCCAAATTGACACAGTCTATAAGACATTTGGTCTGGACTTTTCAAATATGTCAAAATTTTGAAAGATTTTTTTTTAAGTGAGAGTACTAGTATTGGAGTAGTAGACTAAAGGAGTTTATATAGAGAGGCGTGAAATCAAATGAAGCAAGTGAGTCTTGGGTAGATCCTGAATTGAAAACAATGTGTGTGTGTACTCATATATGTTTATGACATTTTGGGACAACAAAGGGAAGTTAAATATGGATGGTATACTGAATGACATGACTGAAATAGTATTAAATTTCTTCCATGTGATAATAGTGAGGTATTTGGGGGTGAGGCAGTGTTGTTTACAACTTTCCAGTGGTTCGGGGGGGAAATCCTACATAATGAGAGAGAACGCAAATGTTGTGAAATGTTAACATTTAGTGAAGGCCATACTGTTCAAGTACTGTTCTTTCAACTCTGGTCGGTTTGTAAATTTTGAAACTAAAAAGCTGGGCTTAAAAAAATGTGCAAAATTGATGCAGCCTTTATGGAAAACAGTGTGGAGGTTCCTCAAAAAATAAAAAAAAGAACTATTGGGTTGTCGGAAAAGTCATGACCTATTTTGTCTATGTTTTTCAAAGGTCATTTATTTATATAAAGAACAAAGATCAATCAATGATATATTGCCCGTTTTGTTCGATAACCTTTTACAATCTTTCAGTGAGCTTCATAATTCCTCATTCATAGAATGACCTGTCTGCATTTGCGAAAAACTGAACAAGGTGCTGATTTACATCCTCATCTGAATTGAATGTTATACCACGCAAGGAGTTTTGAAGAGAGTGAGACAAGTGGAAGTCTGACGGCACTAGGTCAGGTGAGTATGGTGGGTGTGGCAACACATCCCATCCAAGCTCCAATAATTTTTGACGGGTAATCAAACTTGTGCATGGTCTCGTGTTGTCGCGATGGAACACAACTCCTTTACAATTAAAAAGCTCTGGACATTTCTGGATGATGGATTCGTTCAAACTGTCCAATTGCTGACAGTACACATTCAAATTGATTGGTAGGAGCTCAAACAACACAACACCTTTAAAATCCCACCACACTGAGAGCATAACCTTCCTCTGATGAATGTCTGCTTTCAATGTCGTTTGAGGTGAATCATCACATCGGGACCAAGACCGTTTGCTCACCACATTGTTGTAAACAATCCACTTCTCATCACCAGTTATCAGTCGATTCAAAAAAGGATCGTTTTCCTCACATTTAATGAGCATATTGCAGATTTTTATACGCGCTGTCAAATGAACTTCTTTGAGTACATGTGGAACCCAAATATCGAGCTTGCTTACTTATCCCAGCTTCTTCAGGTGGTCATGAATGCTTGAATGATAGATGTTCAATGCTTCTGCAATCTCTCGTGTCGTGTAACATGGGTTTGACTCAATCAATGCTTTATTTTGTCAGCATCAACCTCGGTGGGCCTCCCTGACCGAGGAGCGTCATTGAAATTAAAATCACCAGCACAGAATTTCGTGAACCATCGCTGGCACTGATGTTCTTGTAGAGCATTGTCACCGTAAACTTTATGCAAGTTTTCACAAGCTTGATGCACGTTCTTCCCTTTATGGAAGTAAAACAGTAAACTATGGCAAAAATGCACAGTTCGGTCTTCCAAATCTCCAAAACTCAACGAAATCGCTCAATTTTTTTTTAGAATGAAGCTAGAACTGTCAGCTGTCAAATGACATAGCAATAACATAGATGCAAATGACTCTAGTACTTCCAAAAATGAACTAGTGCCATGTGTCACAAACATGCGTCATGAGTTTTCCGACAACCCAATACCTTATGACCCAGCAATTCCACTCCGGGTATTTATCTGAAGAAATCCAAAACACTAATTTGAAAAGATATATGCACCCCTATATTCATTGCAGCATTATTTACAGTAGCAAAGATATGGAAGTAACCTAAGGGCCCATCAATAGACGATTGGATAAAGAAAAGGTGATACATATATACAATAGAATATTACTCTATAAAACAATGAAATTTTACCATTTGCACCAACATGGATGGACCTAGAGGGTATTATGGTAAGTGAATTAAGTCAGACAAAGAAGAATACCATTTGATTTCACTTATATGTAGAATCTAAAGAACAAAATAAACAAAACAGAAACATAACTCATAGATACAGAGAACAAACTGATGGTCGCCAGGTGGGAGGGGACTTGGGCGCTGGGTGAAAAAGGTGAAAGGGATTAAGAAGTATAAATTGGGAGCTAACAAAATAGCCACGGGGACGTAAAGTACAGCACAGGGACTACAGTCAATAGTATTGTAATAACTGTGTGTGGTGCCAGGTGGGTGCTACACTTATGGAGGGATCAATTTGTAAGTTACATAAATGGCTAGCCACTATGTTGTATACCTGAAACTAGTGTAATACTGAATTTTGACAGTAATTGAAAAAAAAAATTGAAATAAAAAAAGCAAGTTCTGAGGCGGAGGTTCAGTGGACTCAAGACTCAGCACCCTGAGAAGGCGCCTTTTCCGTGGCTCTCGGTAGGTCGGTCCCCTAAGCTTCTCTTTCACCCAGAGTCCACCTCAAGGGGCCTCAGGAAGCTCTTGAGACACTTGCAACCCCCACCCTCGCCGGTGGGTAAGCGCTTCCCAGGCGTTCCTCCATGGCCAGTTCGCCATAGGCTGCCATGGGCGTGGCCTGGGCGCGGCCACGTTAGGAGCAGCCAATGGGAGTTGAGATGGCAGGCGGGGCCTGGGCGGAACAGGGGCGGGGCTGCGCGCGGGCTTCTGGGCCACCCCCGGCGCCTCGCTGCCTTTCCCTCGGCTTCCGCTCAGCCGCTGGTTCCTGCTACCAGGTGAGGTCCTGCGTCGGAGGAGGGGCAGGGCCGGTGTCGCTGTCGGGTCAGTTTCTAACCAGCCGGCCGAGGCGCGCTGGCCGCTGAGCGCCTGCGCCGGGTCGGCCCGCCACTGACCGGTCCTCCCTTCCCCGCGGCGCCCGAAACCAGCCGGCGCTGATCCCTCGGGGCGCCGCGGACTCGGGGTTGGGACTGTGTTTGGAGCTGCGGCTCCGGAGAACCTCGACGCGGCGGGGCGTGCTCAGGGGCTGCCTCCGCTCTCCGGTTCGCGTGCGGGGCCCGGCTGAGTGGGGCGCGAGGTTTCGGAGCTGGGCCCCGCTGCTTGCGGTCAGGCGGGTTCCGCAGGAGCGCCGGCTCCAGGCCGGCATCACTTCTTAGCGGTGCGGGGTGACTTCTGTTCAGCGTCACCGAGATCCAAGTGTGCGGCCGGTCTGGCCTCTCGGCGAGCGCGCCCTTGCCCCCGCGGTGTGTGCCGCCTGCCGCTGCGCCCCTCCCACCCGCGCTTCATTCAGAGTGCGCGGCCCCGGCCCCCGCGAGCTTCGGCTCTGGGAAAGGGCCCGCTGGACTTCGCATTGCTCCGGGAACACGCCAGGCTGGCTCACGTTCTCAAGGACCGGCCGAATTAATTTGCTCGGCAGGTTAATGTAGCTCTGGATTTGAGCGTCTTTCTAGGCGTACGTATTTTCATGTAAAACGGTTGCAATGATCAGCATTATTGTTCCTGCGCAAGAATAGCAAAACAGTGTCAGGACTGGCCGCAGAGCCTAGATTCATCCTCAGGTAGTGAGACAAGGTGAAAGGCACGAATTCTGGTCTTGGCGGCCGCCACGGTTTGTGACCATGGGCTCGTTCATGCGAAATGAGATACGGTTTCCAAGATTCCTTTTAGATTACACATTTCATTAGTCTGTGATGAGCTTATTTTTCGTCCTGTACCTTAAAAAAAAATGAAATAGGAAAAGTCCGTGAATGGCCGTACTGCGGAGAACAAAGATTGATGAGCGCACAGAAGTTTAGAGACTGGTTACAAGGCTGCAAACTGAAACGGGAACAAGTAAAACTGAAAAAACTTACCCAGCATTAATTGTGTAAGTGAAACTTGGAAAGCTCTCAGAAGTTCCAGTAGCGATTGCTGTGTTGAATTATCTGTGTTTGCAGCTGTGCAGATAAGGTAAGGGGAAAGTAAATGCTGAGTGAGAGAAAATGTAGTTGAGAGGATATATAACTTCGTGTATTTCCTAAGTGTAGGGAGAATTCTTTGGAATTCTTAATTCTTGTAGACATTTCCACTCAAGAAACACTTTTTTAAAAATAGAGTTTTGTATTTCCCCTGCATGAAAATCTTAACATTCGTTCTGAGTGCTCAGAATTTCTAAGCTTCCCACCTGCCAGTATTTTTTAATAGTCTTTGGACAATAGCTTTTGCTTTGCAGCTGTGTGACTAGGGAAAGTCACTTTTCCCGCTCAGGCTGTATTTCTTCAATTATGAAATGTGGATAATGATACCTATTTCATAGACTTGTAAGGATTCAGTAAAGTCCTTTCAGTGGAAAACATCCCACAGCACCTGCCATGCCAGACATTCAAGAACGACAGCTATTGTAGTTAGCATTGTGTTTGGAGGGCAGCAAAGAGAAGAGGCCACAGGGTTTGAGTCTGGCCGGAGGGTCTGTCTAGAGAGCGGTGCCACGTGGGAAGTGGTGGACAGCCGCTGCTGTACCAGATTTGTGCTGAGTTGGAATCCCTTCCCAGGACCGTGGGCTGAGATGCGTCCCAAACTCACATGATCGCTGAGGACACATCAATCTCCTGACAGTTGGCCTGGCAGTCTTGGCACTTTAGTAGAGTTGGGGTTTTTCCCAGAAATTGTGCTAGGAAGTTAAGGAATGTGAGTGAAGGAAAACCCCTCTCAAGACAGCTCAAAAACAAAGAAATGGTTTCATTTACTGAACAGATTTCAGCCTAAGATAACGGAAACCCTGTCATAGCTGGCTGTGTTCAGTATGGCTTACTGGACATTCTGGTCCGGTCTTTGCTAGAACTTGTTCTCATTTGGATGTTTGACCAGCTACTGGTTCTCTCTGGTTGTTACTTAAAGCCAAATTATTCTTCTTTGACTCAGCAAACATGAACTTGGGACGGCTCAGTCATCTTAATTGCTCAGGGATCTAGTCTTGTATTCGGAAAGGAAAAGGAAAAGAACCCCAATTTTTTTTTTTTTTTTACTCTCTTCCTAGCTAATTTTTAAAACTTGTAATTGAATAGAAAGTATTTTTTTCTAGTTTAACCAAGGACGCAGGAGTCGACACTGGTTTGTGGAAAAGTTTATTGTACGGTACATCTGAATAGGAACTGATGGGTGTGTGCTGCAGCCCACGTGATTTAAAACCATGGGGAGGCAATTCCACAACAATGCTGAGTGCTAGTTGAGTATTTAAAGATGAGTATAACCCAGAACCTCTGGGTTTTAATCTAACTAAAAACTTTATACCAAAACCAACAGAAGAAAAACTAGCCAAATCTCACTAAAACTGAACTAGCAAGACAAAAAAAGTGTGGCAGGAAATCAGGAAGTTAATCAGCGAAATGGCATGAGGTCATATGACAGTATAGTCTTTAAAAAATGTTTTGTTTTTAAATTAGAGATTAATATAATTTCATAAATTTTTGATGCCATTTTGGAGGATATCTTTTGTGTGTATGTGTGTGTCTACATATATATACGTAGACACACATATATTCACTGTAGACATAAAAATCACTATTAAATAAGATCAATAAAAAGAAGAATGAACTATATTGTCATCTTTAGGAATTAACTACTTAAAACAGGAATTTAAGTGGTAAGTATGCCAAGGTGTGAATCAGCCATCATTTATTTGGCTCCCCGATTTTCAGGAAAGACACAGCTGCTTGGGATGTCCCTGAGATCCGTGTTCTGTGGGTGGGGCCCTGGAGTCTGGATGTTTAGGAAGCTGCAGCCCGGTTAGAGACTACTGATACGGGGTCCTCTCTGTTCCGCACAGATGCCTGATGCATAGCGAGTATCACCGCCAAGAAATGACCACATGGAGGCCTGGGGAGGGGGTCATGGGGAGCGACTGGGATAGTTTTCTTGTGGGGGGAGGAAATATTTTGGAACTAGATAAAGGTGGAGGGTGCACAACACTGTGAATGTAGTAAGTGCCACAAAGTGTTTGCTAAATGGTTTATTTTATAGTATGTGAATTCACCCCGGTATAAAATAGAAAAAAATAAAAGAATCCTATGAATGCTGTCTTTGTTGCTGTGTTGGAAAAATAAATTATCCCTGTTTAGATTGGCTATCTACCTTCTGAATATTACATTTTTTTTAGACTTTTAAATTAAGCATTTTTTTGTGTATAAGATGCATCTTATCAGTAGTACCTTTTCGAAGCTGCTTATTAATATTTTCTCCTTAGTTAAAATGCCCTCTTTACAGCATAGGGAATAGAGGGAATGGAATTGTAACAGCTATATATGATGTCAGAGAGGTAGAAGATTGGGGGAAGGGGCTTATCACTTTATGAGGGATGTGAATGTCTAGTACATTGTTTTGTGCACCTGAAACTAATTTTAAAAATGCCAGCACTCCTTTATGATTGTGTACAGTGTTGGGCAGCAGCAGGAGGAACATTGACTGCACTTGGACTCAGAACGCTTGGGGTTGGAGGCCCAGCTCTGCCCCCATCAGCTGAGACTCGGCTTCGTGATCTGTTTTGTTTTTCGGTCTTATCCCAAACTTTTTTTGGGGGGGATTCACTGAAATTATTTATATTGAACACTTTTATAATTGCAAGTGACAGTACTTCCATATGTCATTGTTACATAGTTATTGTTTTGTTTTTTAACTTGGATTCAGCAAAATCGAATGGGTTGGAGAAGGTACTACTGAATAGTCAGTGAGCTAATTGGATTTATTATTAATGTGTTCTTATAGCCTATAGCGTACAGTGTTAATCATTACATTAGTTATGAATCTAGTAAGACTAAGAATTAGTTAAGTACAGATAATAAATGTTTTCAAGGGCAGTAGGGAGATGAGTTTTTAGGGGCAAGGTTTCTTTTTGGTACTTAAATACATAGGGCATGTGATGATTTTCAAGTTCCATGCCTAGGGGCCTTCTGCCTCGCTCATTGGTAACCATTCTGAGTTTGCATAATGTTGGTAAATGAGGAATAGCTGTTGGCAGATCTGCTTTGGGGTCCATTTGGGTTCCTGTGTTTTCCTTGAGTTTCAGCAAGCCGCTTGGCCTTGTGGAGAACTAACATTCTTGGCAGCTGTGACTGGTGGTAGGCCTCTCCTGGGATATGTCGACGTGGGGAAACTCCTAAAACATGTGAAGTAGCAACATTGACATGCTGCTTGCCAGTAGTGACTGTGACACATTGGAAATGTTTTAAACCAACCGTAATTATAGTTGACAGAATACACACAAAAGTGTGCTAACTCACGTGTTTCCTGTTAATGGACGTGAGGCCAGATTTACCAGCTGACATAGCACGGCAGAACATGTGATGAATGTGGGCCCTCGCTGTGGCCGGCATGGGAACCTGTGTCTCAGGTCCTGTTAAGGGAACGGAGGGTGGAAGTCAACGTTTCTTGAGGTCTTTTTTTGTGCTAGTTTAAAAATAGATGTATTTAATCCCCACAATAGTTCCAAAAGCTAGGCATTTTATTTAGCTTGGTGAATAAAGTATGGGCTGTCCCTCTAATTGGTTTTGTTGGCTGCTTCGATGATGATGATGGAGGAAACCTGGAGGTTAACAGGAACTTCCCTTGAAAGGAAGTAGTGTGGCTCTGACCTGGGAGTTGGCCTCTTTCCTTCACACTGAGCCGCCTCCCAGCTATAACATCCCGTGGGTGAGAGAAGAGAATTAACATTTATAGAGTGTGAACTAGAAGTACATTTGGGTGATGTTAAGGCATTGCCATTTTACCTTGAAAAATGGGTTGCAGCATCTTTTGTTGCAGCGTACCTGATGGATTTCGGTGCCTCCCGGGAGGCTCTCACTTAAGACAGTGACGAACAAATAGCAAATGTTGAACAGATTTAAGGTGAACTAGCCGACCTAGAAAGTAGCCTCCATTGTACTCCACTGAACACATACCCACATACCAAGGAGTCCGCGTGTTGGGGTGCGGAAGGCCTGGGTGAGAATTAGGCGCTGAGACAGAATAGCCGGTGCTGCCCTGGGGCGTAGTAGATGGGGGTGCTCTGCTTTGTTACGGCAAGGCGGCCATCCCCGGCTCATTGGGATTTGTGGCAGGGGCTTCCAGTGAAAGCATCTGATAGCACTCTCTCAATGAAACACATTCCAGGAAGAAACTGCCTGTGCGAGAGGTTCCAACTGTGAAATGTCTTGCTTTTGTGTCCAGGAAAAACTGTTGGAGGCTGTGTTTCTGGGAATCAGAGGAGAAGGGACAGCGATGACAATGTCAGCCCTCAACTGGAAGCCCTTCGTGTACGGAGGGCTGGCCTCCATCACAGCTGAGTGTGGTAAGGGGCCTGGCGCGAGAGTGGGGGCCATTTTCCTGCCGCGTGGGATGATGATTAAAACCCAAGGTCGTGATTTGGTGCTTGATGGGAATGTAGTTTAAGCACAGAATGTGCAATTATGAAACATTAATCTCGGAATTCAAAATCTCCTTCTTCTTTTGTTATGCTTTTCAGACAAAATAGTCACTTTGACTACTTACTGGCAACGTAGGGTTCAAAGTTTAGTGGGAGAAAGTTGAACCTGTTGCCCAAACCCAAGTTTATGAATCATTTCTGAATTACATCAGTCCCAGTTTTCCTGGTGTCTTTCTCCACTTTGCCTTTAACACATTTGGCTGTAAGGAAGTTGGACCAGCTCCAAGGTCTTCCCTGACCAGATTCCACTGGCCGTCCTGCAGTCGCTTCCTGACCAGGCACGTGCTCGTGTCCTGTTTGTGACTTCCTCCTCAGTATTCCTTTGTCTGCTCCCTGGAATCAGGCATCCAACAAGCATTGATTGAGCTGCTGCCGAGTGCCAGATGCTGGGCTGGTCACTTCTTTGCTGCCAGGGCTCAGCCACTGCTGTCTGGGACAGAGGCTGCCCGCGGGGACCAAGGCCCAGGGCTGGAGGCGCGTTAACCACCCACCCATGTTCCCTGGGCCCGCGGGTCCTCCTGCTCACACAACGGATCTCGTTTACTGAGTGTGAGCTTTATAGATTTGAGCGGACGGTTAGGCTCTGTATTAAACATTTCTCCTCCATTAACAGATTTACTTTTAGACAGTAGAGCACAAAGTGAGAAACTCCTTAGAAAATGAGCTTATCTCATTCATATTGAAGTCAATTTTAGCCCTCACATATGTAAAAAACAACACATTTAAAAATGTATTTTTCTTAGTTGCCTAAATCATTTCATGTATCTACTTTCTACAGCAGTACAGTTTCCTCATGTAAAGAAAGAAAAATGTATTTATGCCTTTTTAAAAAAATCTTTTGGTTCCCAATTTCTTTTTAAATAGAAAAAAGATTACAAAGGATCTGCCATTTCTTAATTATTTCTTAGTTCACATTGTAGTCTAAATGTCTCTTCAGTGATATGTCCCAATGTAGCCTTTATTTAGTGGAATTTATTTTTTATTTAGTGAAATTTTTTTTCTTTAAAATTTCCAGGTACATTTCCAATTGATTTAACCAAGACCCGGCTCCAGATTCAGGGCCAGACGACCGATGCAAACTTTAAAGAGATTAGGTACCGGGGGATGTTGCACGCGCTGGTGAGGATCGGCAGAGAAGAAGGCCTGAGAGCGCTGTATTCGGGGTAGGTGACCTTTGTATGTTTCTGTGTCACGGCTGACCTTTCAGACGCATAGACTTCAGGCTAAGACTTCATTGAGAAAAAGTAAAAGCTTGTGGCGTATTTGAAAAGATCAAGTAATCTGGTAGATTTTTCATTTTTAATGTCAACTTTATTTTCTATATATGCATTTTATGTGGCAAATGTGGTGGTGAAAGCATGTTTTTATTATCATCAAATACAAAATTACACTTTTTTTAAACTGTAATTTAGCTTTTCACTCTGAAGGTAGCCCTTCCCCCGGCTATTGTGACGACCCAGGTTTTTGCCATAATGAAAATGATAGAGTATCTCCATGGGCAAGAATTGCAGTGAACTTCTTTTCGTTAGTCTGACGTTTACTGAGCGGTGTGCTGTAGGCACTGGGCAGGCATGTGACTCACAGGGCCCTGCTTATGTCCGTCCGATCCCCGCTGGACACAGAGTTCGTTTGGGTGCTTTGATTGAAGAGAGATTAATGAAGGGGCAACTTAAGGGTGAAGGGAACAAATGGGCCACCTAGAAACCAGCACATGAGAAATTGTGACCAATCAGAGGACAGAAGTATTGTAGCAGCGCCGCTGCTGCCTTGAGGGAGCAGACAGTAGCTGTCCAGGGGTGCTTTGGGGTGCCCAGGGAGCGGGAGGCACACCTGTTTCTTTCCCTGCTCCCTCCTTCCCTCTCCTCCTCTCCACCCTCCCTCCCTCAATCCTTCCCTCCCTCCCATCGTCTTCTGGCTGAAGCCTCCTGAAAGTCGGCGGCAGGGGAGACTGGGTGACATGGGCCATAGGCACTGGCCACTCAGGCCACAGAGCAGAACAGAGAAGGGGGAATGGCTCTGGTGGTCACGTGGGGGACAGCAGCAGCACATGGCCCGAGGGCACTGTTGATGACTGAGGGCTGCAGATGAGCACACAGGATTGCAGTGCAGCCTCGTAAGCGCTGGAGTCTGGAAGAGGCATCAGCCCCAGACTGTGGGGACGGGGAGGAGGCAGGCTTTCAGGAAGGCCCCTCGGTCCAGGAGATCCAGGAGACGCATCAAGAAGAGTTAGCCAGGTGGTTAGAGAGGAACTGTGTTTATACAGAGCCAGCAGCATGTGCAGGAGAGCATGGAGCATTCTAGAAACTGCGAGTGATTCAGCATGGCTACAGCATAGGAGCTGGAGAAAAGCAGGAGAGGGGGCTGGAGTGGTCGTGAGGGTTAGGACAGGACGGCCCGAGACCATGCTGAGCGCCGTGACCACACGCCCCACACTGGAGCCTCACGGCCCTTGCACCCACCAGTCCCTGAGGAGTTTGTTTCTCAATGGAACCAATACTGTAAATATGAGGAATTGCACATCAATACCTGGGGTTCCATCTTCTCGAGGGAAGCTGACATCTGGGCCCACATTCATTCACGTAGCTGTCGGATAATAGTGCCTGGAGTGAAGGTGCATCTCCGATTCACCGAAGCCCTGCCCCCCGCTAGACGTACACGTGTGCAGCTCGATCCAGGCCTTCCCTCACCAGGGCTGCTCTGTACCTGTCAGCACCCGAGCTTGCTGCGCCTGTGGCAGACAGAAGCCACGGAAGCGTTCTGAGGAGAGGCACTGACGTGATGGCGTTCCTGCCTGCCGTGGGGAGGAAGGGCTGGAGGCTGGTGACACTGGAATCAGGCCAGCACGTCGGAGGCAGAGGCACAAGGACCCGATGTGAGGTGTTGCCTGGGGATGGAGAGAAGATGGTGTAGAAGGCGATCTGGGGCACGGGACCGACATACCATTGGACCTGTTGTAATACCGGAGGGGGAGGCGGAGGCATGGCTGATGTCTCGGTTTCTGGTTTTGGCCAGTTTGTAGATGGAGGTTCCATTCTCCGGTCTAAGAAACAGAGGAGAGGTGACTGTTAGGCCAGGGAAGATAAGTAGTCCACACGCGTTCAGTGGGTCACTTGACCTGGAAGGAGGTGCAGGACGTGAACTTAGAAACCTCGAGTTGAAAATGTATCTGGATTGGTGTTGGACACATGAATTTAGGAGTCCTCAGTCTTTAGACAGTAGTTGAAGCCGTGGGAGTAGATGAGCTCACCCCTGCAGTGTAGAGCAAGGAGAGAAGAAAGCGTAGGACGGAGCTCTGGGGAGCCCCAGGGGACAGGTAGGGTGCTGCAGGTGCAAGTGAAACGAGAGGCCGTGTCTCGGCAGCTGAGGGAGGAGACAGCTGCGGTAGGACGAAGCGTGGACAATAGCAGGTGCTGCAAGATGTCATGTAGGGTGCTCACTGGACAGCATCATTTCATTTAGCAGCAGTGATGTCAGCTGGCCACCTGTTTCGATGGAGAGGAGGAGGGAAGCCAGGCTGTCATCGGAGAAGGAAGTGCAGAGTGCAGCAAGAGCTGCGTGTGTCGATGCCACAGGTGGTTCTGGGGTCAGGCAGCATCACGTGATGGGAGGGCGAGGAGATACTGGGACAGCGTCCCCAGGGAGGCAGGAAGGGCCTCCAGAGCCTCAGTGCTCGAATGGTGGATGCTTCCAGAGACCCCACTTCACCACGCGCTTCCTATTCAGGCAGGAAAGAAAGCCCTTTCGTTTTCACGTGAACGGGCAGATAGCACCACAGGTTCACTTACAGTTTCATTGACAATAAATATGAGGGGCTGAGCTTTCATTTAGTGACCTGATAATTTGCTCAAGTATTTATATCCTTTTTGGATGGTACCTACATTTTTTTTAAAAAACCCTATTTTTTTTGGTTGGATTTCAGTTTTAAGAAACCTGTTTTAGTGTGGTTTGATTGTGGAAGGCTCACGTGCGGTTGTATTTCTGCGCGTGGCTCTTCCGGAGGATTTTCCGTGCCTTTCAGAGCTTTCCTGTCCCTTGCCCATTGTTCCCACAGCATTGCCCCTGCCATGTTACGCCAGGCTTCCTACGGCACCATCAAGATAGGCACTTACCAGAGCCTGAAGCGACTGTTTGTGGAGCGCCCGGAAGGTGAGTGGGCAAGCTGTCCCGCCTGTGGACAGGAGGCGGGTTGCTTGTCTTTTTATTCAAGTGGTTTTGTATCAGATTTCCTGCAGCTTATTTGTGGCCCTACTGCTGCTGAGGGGAACTCTGGGTGTAAAGTCTACATCAGCTGTGCTTAAAACGAGTTACCAGCTGAATTTTGGGGAGTAACAGTTCAAAGGAGCCAACATTTTCATTAGTACCCTCATCTTGAAAATGCCTAGAGGAGAGGATGTGGTGTTATAGTTCTAGCCAACTTAAAATGTTCTAACATCATAGGACTTGTCACCTACATTTCAGGAACGCAGTAAACGCATTTCTTAGTGTTAAGAGCTGAGTTCTGATCCTCCTCTGCTGCATGACTGGGCGACTTTCCTTTAACCCATAGAACGTTGTCCTTTTTTACAAAGGGACAGACACCAGCCAGCCGCTCTGTGAGAGTGGTAACAGGAGCTCAGGTGCTTTCAAAGTGCTTCGTTATCCTTCAGATTAAATATATGCGATGCGCTTTGCAACTTTATCTCCACATTGTCTCACAGGACTATGTCTTTTTTATTCACCTACCAGACATGCCTCCCCTTAATCACTGCAGTGGTTTGCATTTACACACAGAAGTCTTAGATGGCTACTCACCTTGCATGATGGTTCACATTCCTTTTTAGACTGCAGGAAATTTTGCTACGCAGAATCCCTTTAGCCAGCAAAAAGTCTTCATCCTTTAAAATCACTTGATTCATAAAGCACACATTTTTTTATTCTCTTAAGAAGAGCAGTGGTCTGTAAATGAGTTCCACCTGTGTTTGAGTTACTCACGTGATGAGCCCTGTATATCTGAAAAGTCAAATCATATGTCATTGTTTGCAGATGAAACCCTTCTGATCAATGTGGTCTGTGGAATTCTCTCTGGAGTCATATCCTCAGCCATTGCCAATCCCACTGATGTTTTGAAAGTAAGCAGTGCCATCTGTATCTTCTAAGCATGCTCCACACTTTCTGATTGAGAACAATGTTCAGCTAATGAAAATTGGCAAATGTAACATACTCAGTACATGTGTGAATCTGTTTATAACAAGTGCTGTGAAGACTCTAACTTGTAAATATCCTCTAGTGGATTTCCCACTGATAGAGATGAGCTCAAAAGTAGAGCTCATTCTAGAGACGAGATTTTGGGTGATGAGGCAGAAAAAAACCAAGCTAGGCTTTGATGCATGTGAATTTTAATTTTCATCGAAAATGTCCCTTGTTTAATTGGTTCATTAAAAATAGATGGGCTTCAAGTTTTACAGAAGTCTGCTCATTAATGACCATTTCTGAATGCACTATGTTACCCGTTAATTTGATTTCAGGAAATACTAATGGAAATATTTACTTATCACAGTTAGACATAACATATTAGGTGACCTTGTTGACCATACCAGGGATACAGCCTTCTTAAATTCTTTTTGGAATAAGGCAGGGAATAAACTAAATAAAAATTAGGCATGAGCTATTTTTGAATCCTTTCACATAGTCCTCTTTCTTCCTCCCTCTCCTTTCTCCCCTCTTATTTAACCAGAATTCCTTATATTTCTTTCCTCCTTGAACTACTTGGTGCGTAGAATCCCAGCCTGAGTCAGACAGGGACCCTGCCCTCAGAGAGCCTTCACGCTAACAGATTCTGACAAGCGCCAGAATGTTATGCCCCAGCATGCTGAGCACACTACGTTTCTGCACTGGGAAGGCATGGGTGGAAGCACCTTTGCCGTAATTTTGCCCTATGTTGGGATGAGATTGCTGGAGAAAAATATCCGTGCTATTAATCTCTTACACGAATATCAAGGCGACAGAAAGGCAGCTTTTGTGTTTTGGCTCATTTTCCCGTGCTAGCATGGCAACAACAATTCTGTTCACGAAGTTAGAGGTAATGCATTTGCTCCCTAAACCGAAATAAGGTACCGATTTTTTTAGTGAGAAATCCTTTCCACTCTTAAAAATGCAGAGAGCTACAGCAAACATTTTTCTGTTGGAATCTTGGTCATGTGAATTCCGTGACCGTTGAAAGTCCATTTGTAAGTTCAAGCGTAACAGACTGTGACGGGCATCATGTGGCCGTCCTGTGGCCAGCTCACCTGCATTCCTTTTGGTTCAGTTGGTTGGAAATAATAGTGGCTTGGAGCTAATTAAAGAAATATGCTTGTCTGTGCTCGGTGCTGCCAGGTACAGTGGATACACCTATAAAGGACGTTAAATCTTTAGAATTGCCATCAGATTCTCTGCTTCCTACCTAGTAACCTATAGGGAAATAGGCCACTTTCTTTCCTGTTCCCAAGACCATTTAAAACACATTTCTTTTTGACATTTAATGAGCTACTATGTGCAAGACTTTCTGGACTCTACCAGATGCTTCTTGTTGCATCCAAAGTGACCAAGAACCAGTCTTCATAAATTTTTAGTCCACCGATATTTTAAACCACCATTATGGTGATATTTGTGTTATAGTTTTTTTTCTTTGAATGGTTATGAAACAACAGATCACGGTTTCCAGAGATCTGCATTTGGGGAGAAACGTGCTGCTCTCTGTCTCATGCTCGTCTTTGAAATACCCCGCAGATCCGGATGCAGGCCCAGAGCAGTGCCGTTCAGGGAGGGATGATCGGCAGCTTCATTAACATTTACCAGCAGGAGGGAACCAGAGGACTGTGGAAGGTGAGCCCCCAGATGGGCGCGGCGGGCCTAGTGGGTCTGCCCTGTTTCCCGTTCTGAATTTCTTTTTCCTGTGTCCATTGTTTTATTTAATCCACGTGGAGTGAGGGAAGAAGAACAAGTGCCCTTGAAGGAATCTTCTTCCTTAACTTCCTTCTCTGTCAAATGAGGATCTAAGGGAGATGTCACGATGGAAAAGTACCTTTTAAATAACTTATATGTAAGAAACCCTGTGAAGGTTGAGAACTTTTTTTGTTCGTTTGCTTTTATTTATTTATTTTTTATGGAGAAGGGTTTCTAGGTCACAGTTCCGTTGGATTTTTTGATCTCTGGTTTCATGGCTTTTAAGTGAAGACTTATTAGGCGAGCACTGGTATGGAGTGCTATTTTTTGTTCTTCAAGCGACTCGTCCGTTCATAGGATAACCCTAAAGGTCATCCAGTACAATCCTTTCTGTAGTACAAGGACCCTGGAGGCTCTGAGAAGTGACTTGTCCTGGCCAGGGTCTGGCCAAGGTCATCCAGTTAGTGACAGAATCAGAACTCAGCCTTGGAGCTTCTGACTTCTCTCACTGGTCTTCTCTGCCGCTCTATATTTCTAGCTACCAGCAGGAAAACCAAAACTGGCCCTAGTCTGTGGCGTAGAGCCTTGGCGCATCTGCACAGCTCGCTCTCCGGAGAGCTCTCTGACCGTTTATTCTGATTGCTTTGTCCCAGGGCGTATCCCTCACTGCCCAGAGGGCTGCCATCGTCGTTGGCGTGGAGCTGCCCGTCTACGACCTCACAAAGAAGCACCTGATTCTCTCGGGCCTGATGGGAGACACTGTGTACACTCACTTCCTGTATGTATATGGATTTTTAAATTAATAGTTTAGGTATGCATGAGCTTAGGGCGGAAATTTGCTCCACATCTAGAGCAATTATAAAGAAAGCTTATTATAAAAATATTATATTCTCATATTTGAAAAATGACAATACAGATGTGAAGCAGGAGACAGTGAAAGTCCTCATCCCCTTACATAGGGAGCCATGGTCAACAGTTTGATAAGTACCTTCCAAGTGTTTTCTATGCAGATGCAAATATGCCTACAGAAGTATATTACATGTACGTTATTACACAAGTAAGATCATGCTTTGCATTCCCTTACTTGGCTTTTTATTTTTATTATTTTAACTTTTTTTAACTTTATTGGGGTATAATTGACAAGTAAAATTGAAAGACATTTAAAGTATACAACATGTTGACTTAATATATGTACACACTGAAAGCACCCCCATCCGGCTAATTCACACATCCATCACCTCACATATTTGCCCTTTTTCTGTGTGTCTGAAAACATTTAGGTTCTGCGCTCCTAGCAGATTTCAGTTATACAATGCAGTGCTAACTACTGTCACGTGTAATACCTCAGGCCTTGTCCATCTACTAACTGAAAGTCTACATGACCAATCTCACCTGATTTCACCACCCCTACCCCCTGGCTACCACTTTTTACTCTTTGTTTCTATGAGTTTAACTAGTTTTTTGTTCTGTTTTGGTTTCTTTTTAGATTCCCTTATAAGTCATACCATGCAGTAATTGTCTTTCTTACTTACTTTTCAAAATTGAATAATACATATACAGACTTTATTTATTTTTGATAGCTGCAGGTTAGTATGGATGTATCATAGTTGAATCCATTGAGGGGCGGTTTTGCCTCTGGGGACATTTGGCAGTTTCTGGAGACTGTTCCTATTGTTCTGAGTAGGCAGAGGCCAGGGAGGTGCTAAACATTCCACGACAGAACGGACCTCCACAGCACAGAGCTGCCTGGCCCGAATGTTAGTGGTGCCGAAGCTGAGAAATGCTGCCCTGAGCTCACTGATACCAAGGGTGGTCTGAGGCCTGCCTGGTGAGACTGAAAGTTCCGTGGGACCTAAGACTCTGGTGGGCGTTTACCCCGAGGAAATCTTTTGCTCTGATCTTGAAGAAAAATGTGGTTATGACATGGCTCACATTACTCTGACATCTGCTTAGAGGTGAATAGATGCAACAGACCATCCTGGGAAGATGTTCCTTCATGTTTCTATGAGTCTTTGACATTCCAGAGCCTCTAGATTTTTATTGGGGAATTGGGGGAGGGGAACAGTGTTGGGGAGTTGGGAAAGGGGACCAGCCAAGTTGTTATTCTTCAATCTTTGTTGTGGAGGGCGCCAGTCGCCATCTGGCTTCCTGTCGGCAGCCTGTGACCTCTAAGCTCAAGGTGCTCTGTTCTGTCTTAGTTGTGGGTGGGCGTAGCCACCATCCCATGAGGGAGTCGAACCAGCAGCCTTGTTGTTAAGAGCGCACGCTCTATCTACTGAGCCATCCGGGTGGCAGCTCAGCTCAAACTGCTGAGTTCAGTCTTAGTTGCGGGCAGGCATAGCCCACCATCAAACAGGCAGTCTTATTGTTACACCAGGTGAGCCATCCTGCCACCTCTTGGCAACTCAGTGACAACGCAGCTCAGGCGCAGCGTCACTGGCCCATGTGGGAATCGAACTGGCAGCCCTGTTGCTCAGAGCTTGCGCTCTTAAGCCAATTCTTAACCAATTGAGCCACTTGGCCGGCCGAGGCTGGAATTTCTAAGCCAGTGTCATCAGTGCTGGTGTCTGGGAAGTTGGTGCAGCTCTGTAGACATGGACCTCATGTTTGATACATTTCATCTGTTCCATGTCACTTGAACATAGTTGGGGGAGGCTGTTTCCCGCCTTTGACTGCGGTGGTGGTGAACGATTGTTGATGGTATCATCTTCACAGCTCGAGCTTTGCCTGTGGTCTGGCGGGTGCCCTGGCCTCCAACCCCGTGGATGTTGTGAGAACACGTGCAATGAACCAGAGAGCCCTTCGTGACAGCAGGTGCTCTGGCTACACAGGTACCCTGGATTGCCTGTTACAGGTGAGAATGAATGTCCATCTCTATAGGGCTGTAACTTCCTTCCCAGCTCATTAGCTTCCATGGTACTCTCTTAGTAATTTCTTATAAAAAACAGGGTTTTGGGCAAGTCAGACCTGTGGATCTGTCACTTGTAATTGTGTGACTTTGGTCAAGTTACAGATGTTATACTTCAGTTTCCTCATAAGTGAAATGGGACAATAGTAGCACCTACGCCATGGGGTTATTGTAAAAATAATTGAGATGATGCCTTCAAAACAGCATAGTGCCAGGAATAATGAGGTAAGCCTTGTTAGTATAACTAATAAAAGGGACGTTGTGAAATGAACAAATTTATTTAATCTTCAACATTCTAGTGGATTGCTTCAATCCATGAAACTGCCACACACACACACACACACACACATTTATATTTATTGTATATTTATATATTATTTATATTTATACATTGTTTGCTTATTTATTTAACCTAAGAAGTAACTAAATTTTGAGTGCTATTATAACTAAGATGAGTGAGTAATGCTCTAAAGCCCTGAGATGGTACACAGTTTTTGCCACACTGGGGCTAACTTTTATAAATACAAAATCTAGATGAATATTTAAAAATGAAAGCTCAGGGCCTGCGGAGTGGCTCAGTTGGTTAAGAGCTCGCTCAAGAGTGCGAGCTCTGAGCAACAGTGGTTTAATTCCCGGGCCGAGCTGAGCTGCCAACAGGCGGCAGAATGGCTCAACTAAAAAAAAAAGAAAGCTCATTTTCTTTACACCTTTGCTGTGAGAGAATAGTCATATCTTCTGCGATCATAGAACTGTGTCTCCTTCCAAAAGATGCCTTCTTCCTGTTGAGCCAAACTGGAATGAGGATCCTTCAGTCAGACATCTCTCAAAGGAACACATCAATCTTACTGTAATTCTCAATTTATTTTTATTTTTTTCAGCAAAGAATTAACAAATTTTGTTTTGTTTTTTTTCCAATTGTAGTTGACATTCAGTATTATTTTATATTAGTTTTAGGTGTGCAGCATAGTGGTCAGACATCTATATAACTTATGAAGTGACCCCCTGACTAGTCTAGTCCCCACCTGGCACTGTACACAGTCATTACCACATTACTGACTGTATTCCCTGTGCTGTGCTTTACATCCCGTGACTGTTTTGTAACCCCCAGCTTGTACTGTGTTGCGCAGTTTAAATAATCAGGCCTCCTGTTCGCAAGTGGACAAGAGTGTGCGACTGCCTCTCCAACTAGATTGCCCACAACCGAAGATTAGCGACCACTTTTGTGTGGTCTGTTGTCCAGGCTGCTGCTGCTGCACCCTAGACTTCAAGTGTTGCTTTAAGGAAGCACAGATGCTCGTTTTTATCCATCCAACAGCATGAAATAGTGGTGCTCTGAATTGTCTTTACCATCATTGCTTCACGTCTGTGCTTCTGAGCCATTCATTTGTGGGCCCAAGTGGCAAGGAGGCAAAAGACTGGTTGGAATGAAGTCTCCTTTCTTATCCATTCCGCTGCTGTCTGTCTGCTTTGGGTGTGGGGTGGTTGGCCTGGAGCCTACGGCTTCACCTCTGCAGAAGCTTTTAAAGACCAAACAGAGGCAGAGGCAATGATTTCTTAGCTAGTCCTTCCAAACAAATGTATTTGTAAAAAAATTGAGTTTATCCTGGACATTATTATTAATGCATTTGACATAATTGGAAAGTTGGAAGTTAACTTGTTTTTCTCCTTGTAACAGACATGGAAGAATGAAGGGTTTTTTGCTCTATATAAAGGGTTTTGGCCAAATTGGTTGAGACTTGGTCCTTGGAATATCATTGTATCCTTTCCTGTTGCAGTAGATCTGAAAAAAGATACAGCTAAAAGAATATGGTTTGTATAAATTATCATGGTATTAATTATAATTTAGAAGTAGGATTTTATTCTCTTAAGTTCCTCTGATTCAAGAAATAACTATTCAGTTTCTTTTTCAGGAGATATAAAGTCTGTGCTAGGCACTCTGAACCTTGATTTAATGATGGTGTAATTGAAAGGTAATGCTATCGATACACATTTTTATTTAGACTCTGTTCTAAAAGCTGAGAGTATTTATGGTTTCAGAGAGAGGCAGGATTGATTTTATATCCCCAAGTATCCTGGGGAAGGGAGTGTTTTGGCAGCAGGGTTCTAGAATGTTTATTTTAGAGAGTGCTTAAGAATAAAGACTAATTAGCTCTACAGCTATTCGGCCAATCAGTACTATTTCCCGTATGCGAAAGCGGGAGGTGGAAAGGAGTGGCGTCCATCAGACAGGGCAGGGCAGAAGGACAAGGTGGGGAGCGCGGGCTTCACCACCCTCGCGTTTCCCCGTGCGCCTCCCTCCCGTGGAAGCCTGCCTGGCGGAACCCGGGAGGCGAGCTTCCCAGGGCTTCCGGTTTCTCTCGTGCACAGAAGGAGCATTCTGCAGTCTTCCCACCACAGTACAGTCACAAAAGCCAGGCAGTGAGGGTGGGCTTAGAGCTGATGCGAGCGGCTTTACGTATCTCAGCTGTGACCCTTCTGTTCCAAGCTGACCTTGGGGAGGGTGATGGGTACACCTTTCAGGATGGTTAGGATGCAGCCCTTCTGATATCATCGTGTCCATGGCATGTGTTCTGCTGGATGTATTTGTTAGTCGATGTGCCACTATGGGTCTGTTTTTCTGTGTTGGGGTTAAGATGGCATTTTCTTTGTCGGCCTTAACCGGTAACTATAGTTCTTCGTGACATATGAGCAGTTGAAGAAATTGGATTTATGACACGTCGAGGCTGCATGAGACGCCCCTGTGAAAACGCTAACTTCCAAACCAGTAAAGCTTCCTGCGTTTCACCCCGCTTCTCACTGCTTGGCTCGTCACAGATTCTGAGGCCTGAGCAACAGATGAAGACCAGGCTGGTCCAGACTGCTGAGTGTGGGCATGAATGTTTAATGGCATGAACGGCCACATCCAAACGCCAGTCCTTAACCATCAAAGTGCCCTTCAACATCAAAGATGACATGACACGTATTTTTCTTGCTGAAGAAAACTTGGCAAGAAGACGAGGAACCATGTACTGTTTTCTTCAGGGGAGAGCAGCACGTGACGCCTCGCAGCTCCCTGGAACCGAGGATGAGCGCCTCCCAGAGGGTGCTACTGTTCCTGAACTTCGGGGGGCTTTGGCTTCTTGTCAGCTGGAGCAGTTTCACACGTGGGGACCTGGACTTTGCAACTCCAGGTCCACACAGTGCGGGAAATAGGTCCCTGGAATATTGCACTGCTTTATAACTTGCTATTCTGGCAGGATCTCTCACTTATAATAAGTGATTTTAAGCCTTGACGACTTGACCTTTGTGAGGACTTGTTACAAAGTATTAATTAACGTCTGAACCGGATGGTGTGATGTGTTGGCTGTGAGGGAGGCAAGGTCTGTGTTGGTGGGAGGAGTTTCAAGCAGCTTGGGGTCTGTCTTTAGGTCATTTAGCAATTTGCTGTATGATTTTTAGCAAAGTTTATTTCCCCGCCTGTCAGCGGAGATAATAACGTCTGTTGATGTTGAGGGTCAAATGAAGAAAATAGTGGTTGCGACGACTTGACGCGTAGGATGTGTTTGCATCGTACAGCTGTGATCCCGGAGTAAACAGTCTGAGTATGTGGGAGAGGGTCATTTGATCACGGGCTGGTCATTGTAATCCTGTTAAAGGCCTTGGGAAAGAAAGGTTTTATTATATCCATTAGCAGGATTTTTCTAGATTTCCCAGTTTTTATGTTAGTTCGGGTCATATTTGTTAAAATATTTCCTGTGTTGGACTTCTTTGTTAGCTTGGATGGAAAATACTTGCTTACACTTTTAGAAACTATTTCTTTAGTACTGCGCTTGTTGATCTGGTTTCTCATAAGAGGTATATCATGTCTTCCTTCTCTTCTTCTAAAGACAAAAGTCATTCTCCCTCTTGTTTCTTGTCTTCCTCTTATTCTTTCCAAAATCAAAGTGACTCTGAGAGGCCCACGAACTTTACACTTGTAGCTGTGACGCTCCTGGGAAAGGGAATACATGTACCGTATTTGCCGGCGTATAAGACGACTGGGCGTATAAGACGACCCCCTAACATTTCCACTCAAAATACAGAGTTTGTTATATACTCGCCGTATAAGACTACCCCCTCTTCCGCACACCTTCCACACACCAAATAAAAGGTAAAACAATATCAGATTTGATTTCAACATTTTAATTTATATTCAAATGCTTATGACATGCAGGAAAACTGTCACAAGGCTGTATGTAATCAAACATATACATAAAACAGTGCAAGTTTATTACCGGTAAACATACCGGTAATTCACTAAAGAAAACACACTCTATAGACTGGTACCGTAGATTTTGCGAGTGTGGTAAAATCGCATAACAGCAAAATCGCATAACAGCCGAGCATACACCCAGCAGCGCTGCTGATGCCTGAACGGTATGTGCAATGAAGTGGGCGGGCATCGGGAGGCCACTATGGCACGGGGCAAGCACTATGGGCAGTCTATCTGAAGTGTACCTGGCGTATAAGACGACCCCCCACTTGGAGGCATATTTTTCAGGGCCAAAAAATCGTCTTATACGCCGGCAAATACGGTACTTGATTACCTTGGGTTGTACTCTTGGAGAGTATTAAAACCTAGTAACTGTGCCCTCCAGGGTAGACATGTCTGCAGGGGATGCTGGACAGATTTCCACTGTGGCTGCTGGGCGGCTTCCTCCCTGAAGCTACAAGGAACACGGGTCTTCCTTGGGGACTGGGCAGTGTTCCTCCCGGTCAGTCTCTTTCATCTTGCCTGCTTTATTGATGATGAATTTGAAATAGACTTTGTCAAGCAGACTTTTATTTCCAAAAGTAAGAGCTAACGACAGACAATGGCAGTGAAAAGAGACGGAACAAAGAAGGGTGGCAGCGTAGAGTAGGTGTGAATTGCTTGCAGGTTAAGATGAAAGTCTAGATCCCTGGGCTTGCTCTAGACGTGACCCTGGAGAGCTGAGCTCATCGGACCTCACTCCTGGCACCGACGCGCATCTTTATACGCAGGTGACTTTTCTTTTTACCAAAACATCCCGTGGATGTGGTAAGGGCTTCCATAGAAAGGCTCTCACTGTTGAGTTCCTTGAGTTGAAAGGATTCCTTTTAATGAACCACTCTTTATTTTTTAATGTAGAAAACATTTTATTTTTTATGTGTACATATGCTTTCTAAGAGTAAATGTCATGCAATATTCATTATATCAAATTACTAAAATCATGTACATGTTCGTACCAGAATGAAAAGGAATTCAAACCTCACTGTAAAACTGAAGCCCGTTTTGAAGACAAAAATACAGTATTTCTTCAATGTAGATTTATTAAACACTTTATAAAACAGGCTCTTAAGCTGTTGGCATTTCTGCTTTCCAAAGGAGTTAATGCAGTTGTTGAAGCTTCTAACCAAGAATGAACTTAAGGGTTTGGGAGACTTGGTCCCCTTGTTTTCGGGGATGTGACTTTAACTGCCCCCGCCCCCTTGTATGTTGCTCAGATGTGCCCAAAGGATTTTTAGCTTTTATAACCAAAATGAGAAAAGTTCATTTTTTTTTTGCTTGTGGATTTGTTAATCATTGATGCTAAATGTTGCTGATCTGTGATAGAAAAAAAAATGTGTCTCGTTCTCCATATTTATTCTTGCGCTGAAATAGTATACATTATGTAAAGACTATAAGCTTTTCATACGCCTTTATATTTCGTGCTCTTTAAACATCGTTGGAGTAGGTGGCATCTGTCTTGTGTCATTATTTAATAAACTGGAGTAATATATAATTATAAAAATGATTTGTGGTTATTTCAGATAAAGAGAAACATTTAAACAAAGACAAGCTCCAAAGAGTCCAGAGGCTGGAGTAGAAATAGCATTTGTGATCGTGACTGCAGACATCTCCCTCTACCCAGAGAAGCTGTTGGGGTCATCTCACGAATTGCCTGGACACCTGTGTGACCTCCCAGTATCTGAACTATTCTGCAGCTCAGCCAGGCCATGACTGTGCTTTCTGGGCTGGGTTGGCGAGGCACCTGGACACTGAGAACCCAGTGTGATGACAGCAGGGCTGGGACTTGGACATTCCCGCAGTCCTTGCAGCATTTGATGGCTCGAGGCAGGAGCTGGGGTCCCTGCTTAACTGGACCAGGCGGAGACACCTCTGGTTGGCATAAAATCACCAGTAGATGAAATGCAAACATGGTTCATTAATTACTTCAAAGTATTTTCTAGATTAACATTTGAATTAAACATAGTCCTTTATTGAAAAAAAAGAGTTGGGGGGAAAGAAGGGGACTTTTTGTTTCAGTTCTTCCACGTACGAGGAAACGACAGACCCAACGGGACTGCCGTGATGTGAAGGTCAGTGAGGGCGGCCGGCTGCGGGCGAGTGTCGAGCGCCTGTGAGCCGCAGAGCTTCCACTTGGATCCTGGCGCCTGATCCAAGGCTGTTTATTGTTAAAGTGGCAACTGGGGAAATCGGACAGGGCACATTGTTGGTAGATTATGAGTAAATCCATTAGGAAGCAAAGCATGGAATAAAATACAAGAGCAGCGTATAAATCTGTTTCGTGAAAGCTTGATGGAATAATGGAACCAAAAGCACCAGGAGCCAAAAACTGGAAACATCCTCTATCTATACATCCACTGTGTAACTCAGCTCTCCAGAGAAACAGAACCGGCAGAGCAGGGGGGTGGGGGGTGGGGGGGGGGCTGGGCCTGCCTCACTGCCAGGGCCTCCTGTTTAAGGAAGACGCTCCTGTGATCGTGGGGACAGGTAAGTGTAAGAGCAGTAGGGCAGGCCAGCAGACTGGAAACAGGCAGGATTTCTGTGTTACAGTCTGGAGGCAGAATCCCTTCTCCAGGAAACCCCAAGGCCTTTAGCTGAACGCGGCCCACCCATGTTATGGAGTGTGATCTTAAAGTCAGCTGATTGTAGATGTTATTCATGTCTAGAATCTCTTCAAGGTGCCACCTAGACTAGAGTTTGCCACACAGCAGGGCACCATAGCCTGGCCACGTGGACATAAAATTTAACCATCGCAGGGTGGAAAGAATTCTTACTATTTTCTTTATGCATAATTGTATTATGTTCTACAAGCCTATATTTTATAACTTAAAACAAAATCTTGAATACAAAAAGGACCAGCTTGGAATACAGATGTGCAAGTTACAAAAATTGGGGAAAATGGTAATATAATATTCTATTTACATTTTAATGATATGATGTTTCTAAAAGTATGCTAAGTGTCTATCAAACTGAAAATTGAGCTGAAAGAATAAATAGGAAGCTTTTGCTGTTTCAGTTTTTAGCTATTTTCATTCAACGGATGTAATTTATAATTAAAATTTTTTTAACCTTTTTTTGTCTTTTTCTTTTTTGACAGTGGGGGAAACCTAGATAGAGTATTAAGTGGACATGCACCTACCCTCTAAACTCTTGGGATGTTTTACACAATTCTTTGTCTCCTGACATTTCCAGAACACCTCACGATACTTGATGGAGAGAGAAGCTGACTAAATACAAGCTGTTGCTTATCTCCACTGAATGTGTGTTGTGAGAGCTCTGATGATTCTAGATTCAAAAGGAATCAACATGTTAGATCCAGGGTTACAAGTATCAAGACCTGCTTAAGGCCACTGGCTGACTTCATCTTGAATTGCATCACTACTCTAATTTGCTGTACTGTTTTGTGCTTTCTTAACATAATAATTTGCACATAGTAGGTAATGCAATAAATACTTGTTGCATTACATGGAAGCAGCCTATTAAGATTGGCTCATTACTTCTGGGATTCCTATGTGGTGTTATCTCAAGGTCACCAAGGAGCCAGTGAGAACTGGGACATGGAGCATTTCGTAACGATGGCTTTGTTCACCAGGCTTCTCCTGTGACACTCGAAGAAATCAAAACCTCTGCCAGCCTATGTTCAGTTCTGGCTGAAATTAATTTTTTTTAATTGTGGTAAAATATGCATAAAATAAATTTATCATTTAAAACATATTTAAGTGTACAGTTCTGCTTTTAAGTACATTCACATTGTTTTACAACCATCACCACCATCCATCTCCAAAACTCTTTTCATCTTGTCAAACTGACACCCTCTACCCAGCAAACAGTAACTCCTTATCTCACCTCCCCCAGCTCCTGGCAACCACCGTTACACTTTCTGTTTTTATGATTTTGATGAATTTAGGTGCCTCATGTAAGTGGAATCGTTCAGTATTTGTCCATTTGTGACTGGTTTATTTTACTAAGCATAATGCCTTTAAGGCTCATCCATGTTGTACTATATTACAGAATTTCTTTACTTTTTAAGGCTGAATAATATTCCATTGTATGTGTAGACCACATTTTGCTTACCCATTCATCCGTGGATAGACACTTGGGTCGCTTACACATTTCAGCTACTGTGAATAATGCTGCTATGAATATGGGTGTACAAATATCTGTTTGAGATCCTGCTTTTAATTCTTTGGGTTATATACTCATAAGGAGAATTGCTGGATCATATGGCAAATTTATCTTTAGGTTTTGTGGAACTGCATACTGTTCCATAGCAACTGCACCATTTTACATTCCAACCAACGGTGTACAAGGGTTCCATTTTTTCTACATCCTTGCCGACACCGTTTTCTGTTTCTTTGATAGTAGCCATCCTAATGGGTATGATGTGGTATCTCATTGTAGTTTTGATTTGCATTTCCCTAACACTTGGTGACGGGCACCTTTTCATGTGCTTATTTGCCAACTGTGTATGTTTTTTTTTAAAGATTTTTATTGGGGAATTGGGATGGGAACAGTGCTGGGGAATTGGGGGAAGGGGAACAGACAAGTTGCTGTCCTTTTGTTCTTCAGTCTAGTTGTGGAGGACGTTGCTTCACTGGCCCAAGTTGGCACCATCATTGCGCTCTTCCCCGGCGAGGCAGATCAGTTGCCGGCTTCTGGACGGCCGCTCACGGTGGCTTGAGGGCTGCTCATGCTGGCTGCTGGCTACACACGGTAGCCCATGGCAACCCACTGCCATGGGCTGCAGCCTACTCTGTCGCCCGCAACTCATGGCAGCCTAGCTCCAGGTTGAGCT